TAAAAGGAAACTACTTTCCAATAAATAAACGGGACCTAAATCACTACTATTTTAAGGATTTTTTGTAAATGTTTTTTTTTTGTTAATTTTAGAATTTTGATATAAAAAACTTGTATTTGGTATGAATAGAAAAGGCCAATTACCCTTGAGAGGTCCAAATTAGCTTGTCCTAAAATACAATTTAATTGGAATAATAATAATAATCCAAGAGCTAGTTTTCATTTATTTCATATATATATATATATATTGTGTGTGTGAAAATAATTATCTATAAAAAATGATATTAATTAGTGATTGAAAAATAAGAAGAAAAAAGAATGGAGAACCGACTACCTTCCTTTTCTCTCTTTTCGCTTGCACCTCGCTCTCATTCACGATCATATCACCTTCCTTATTTTAGGTCACATATCACAAGCTTAAATGGTTTTATCTACCCCACTTTTTATTTTTTTTACTTGATAGATTATATAATTATACACCTTTCAGAATTGTGTGGTGAAAGTAAATTAAATCCTATCAATGCTAATTTTGCATAATATTTTTTTTTCAAATTCACTTATTTACATCAAATATATATTCATTCAATGGTTGATATTTTTTTATAAATGAATTCTATAAAACTATTACACGGGATTTACATAGCTCAATAAATTTAACAGTAAAGTGCATAGCATAACATCACAAGCGTGTAGACTAAGCATATCATTGCATGTACTATGCTGTGGGTAGGATTATTTTTTAATATAAAAATATTTAAGTATTGTTAATAATTTTTTAAATAAAAAAATTATATAAGAATTAATCTAATATAATATTATTGACTTGAAAGGTTTAATGACAATTTAAATAACCGATAAAAATATAATTTGACTAAAAAAATCAAGACATTATCTTTTGAAAAATATTAAAATGATAACATCTGATTAAGTTTGACTCGGGTTAACCCGTCAAATTTATTATCCAAGTTATGATATCCTGATAGCCTTATAGAAAGCAATTAAAAAACTTTATCAAACTCAATTCTCAATTAATCTAATGTTAAAGAATGAAATTTAAAAAATTTAATTAAAAAAACATAAAAACCAAATGAGTCAACCAACTAAATGCATGAATTGATTATGAGATTGAGATAACATCATAAAATACAAATCAGAATAAATTATTATCATTTACTAAAAGGCCTAGGATTGAATTGAAAAAAATAAAATAAAATAATATATATTAACTCGGGTTAACCTATCAAACCTTAGTCAAGAGACTAAGTTTAAAAAAATTATAAAGTTTAATTCTCAATTAATCTAATATTGAAAAATAAAATTAAAAAAAATATTCAATTAGAAAAAAAACAAAAATAAAAACCAAGTTAACTTGACTAACCTGCAAAACTCGTGACCCGAGTTATGAAATCATGATAACTCTATTTAAAACAAATAAAAAAAACAATTATAAAGCTTCATATCTCAATCAATTTAATGCTGAAGAATAAAATTAAAAAATAATAATTAAAAAATAACAAAAAAATAACTTGTGTCAACATAAATTACTAATAAAAATTCATTACTTAAATTATGAGATCAAAATAACTTTATAAAAAATAAATTAAAATAAATTATAAAATTTAATTTTCACTAAATTCAATATTAAAGGATGAAATTTATTTTTTAAAATTAAATAAAAAATAAAAAAACTCTAAAAAATCTTAAGAATCAAAGTAAAAAAAAGCTTGGTATTCACTCTTCATTGTTTCAGTAAAATACCAAGGTTTTTTTTAATATATAATAATAATAATAATAATAATAATAATAATAATAATAATAATACCATGAGGACCTTCACCTTAAATTTAAGGATTTAATTTGTAGTTCGAATGTTTATGGAATTGTAATCTCTGCTAAGAACAAACACTACGTACAGAAACCAGGATAAATTTTATTAGTGGTAATTAAAGAAGATGATTATCATTCATGCTTATATTAACCAAATTTAATCATTTTCACTTCTATTTTATAAGTTCTTCTGCAAAGAGATAGTTAATGAAACCCATCTAGTTGATCACCATGATTGTCAAATAATTGATGAGGAAATATTAGCTATCAAGGAGGATAACCAAAATCAATCAAACAAACAAACAAACCTCTCTTTTGACCTCAAAAGGAGGAAAAGAAGCTGGTCTATCTTGGGTGAAGTTTTAATGTTTTATTATTATTATATAAAAAAAGTAAAAGTTTTATGCAGCAAAATCCAAAAAGCACCGATTAGTACCTTACTTACAAGAAACAAAGATTTAGATGCGCCTCATTTTCAAAAATAACATTGTGTTTAATTTTTTTTAAAGAACTCATACTTAATTTTATGAGTGTTAAAGTTAATAATAATATAAATTTTTAGTGATGATTATATTAATAATTATAGGGTTTAAATTTAAGATCATAAAAAAATAAATTTTTTGATTCTAAATTTTTATTATTGGATCACTTACTAGGTAGTAACCTATTAATTTAATAAAATTTTATCAAGTTAATTTTTATTTAATTTAATATAAAATTTAAATGGAATTAAATTGATGAGTAAGTAAATTGGCTGGCAGCTGATTTAATAACAGTAAGTTTTTCCCGCCAAAATCAAAGGGTAACATTAAAAATCCGAACAATTTATAAAAAAAAAATCATAAAATTAAAATAGCTCTCTAAATTCTAGGATGATTCCACATGCATATATGGTATGTACAAGCATGCTTATTTTTTTAATCCGTAAACTAATCTCAATGAAATTATACTGAAAACGTTGACATTGCTAATTGACATTTTCATGGCATAATCGTTGTCTTAAATTCAGGCGAAGAGTGAATCATGGGATTCAGAGAACATGCTAGCTCGAAACTAAAAATATTCTACGTTTGGTAAAAAGGAAACATTCAAGACAAATCTTTTTTAATTATCCCCATTAATATTATACATAGCTCCTACCATTCGTGGCAGTGCTGATCGATCCTATTTATACCTCCCTCCCTCCAATACTATAATCATTTCATAAAATTGAAGTTTCCTTTACCTCTTTTCTTTTTGATATCCATTTGTGCTTCTTAGAAATATATAATTTTTTTCTTCTGGGATAATATGAAGTGCCTAGTTACCGTATTGTTCTTCTTGTGGATGGCTTCCTATTGTTCATGCCGTCTAATACCTGAGGCTACTGGAAGGAGGTTTAATGTGCTCGACTATGGTGCTGATGGAAACGGCAAAATCGATGCTACACCGGTACATGTCCTGCTTTAATTTTTTACTAGGTTTAATGTGCTCTTGTCTAAGGGAACTTTGTTTTACTTGCGAGGTATCTTTCAAGTAAATCTAAGCGATTCAGTGTATTTTAGTAAATAATTTCTTTTGAATGTTAACTTCAAGATTTGGACTTAAGAAATCGAAAGTGGGAGCAAACCTTCTTGATTGTTGGACTTACTCTTTCGAGTTCTACGTAAATGTGTTTGTACTTTTGTTATTTTTCTTTAAGCTTGATAACCTGTATATATGTGGAGAAAACTAGATATTTATGCATTGAAAATGTACTTGAAAGGCTTTCCAAAAAGCATGGGGACATTTCTGTCGAGCAAGTGAAGAAATGCCAACCCTTGAAGTACCAGCAGGGAAGACGTTCTTGTTGAAGTCTGTCTCATTCAGTGGCCCTTGCATGTCCAAGAACCCTCATGTTTTGGTACGTGTTCATCAAATATTTTGTTTTATTTAATCATTTACAAACTCGGTCAGTGAAAAAATCTAGCATTGTTTTTCTGATTATAGATCGAAGGTACAATCGTTGCACCAAACAGCTTTGATTCATGGGATGATGATGATTATGAAAAATGGATTGGATTCACAGCCTCTATTGGTCTCATTGTTGATGGAGGAGGAAGATTTGATGGACGAGGAGAAGCTTGGTGGAAAGCTTGCAATGTATGTCTACCTTTTGATCGTTAAAGTTTCGCTAATTCCTTCTTAAGTTTTCTTTCTTGGCCTGTTACTAATTTTAATATGAATATTAACCAAAGCAACTCCCTTCAGGATAATGATAGTGCCTGCTCGAAACGTCGCCAGGTAAGATCGATTGGTCGATGAGTCTTCATCATCCTTAAAACATACAGTGAATCCTTTTATAATTTTTTGATTGTGTGAGTGATGAATGTTGCGGATGTAGGCTCTCCATTTCAACAAATGCAATGGTCTCCGACTAAGTAACTTGCACCATGTCAACAGCCAAAAAGGTCACATAAGCATAAATGCATGTGATGATGTCGAAGTCTCCAATCTTCAAATCCTTGCACCAGATGAGAGCCCAAATACAGATGGGATTGATATCTCTGAGTCAAACCATGTCAATATCCACGACTCTTTTATAGGAACCGGTGATTGAACTTTCTAAGATTTTCCCTATCCTTATGCTGCTGGATCTCCATTGATTATCAATTAGTTTGCTTATATATGCACATATGGTTCTGTTCAATTAGGTGATGACTGTATTGCCATCAATGGTTTCTCCACTTCCATTAATGTTACTAGTGTCCAATGTGGACCAGGCCATGGTATAAGGTTCGTCAGCAAACTTGAACACTTCAAAACTAATGTTTTATTGGGTTGTGTTTAATTTCTTCAAACATTCTGAAGTTCTTGATTTTAACTCTCTGTGCAGTATTGGAAGTCTAGGAAAGGATGGGGCCTATGAAACAGTAGAAGAGGTCCATGTTAAAAGCTGTGCCTTCAAAGGAACTCAGAATGGTGTACGAATCAAGACATGGGAGGTAACCATGGAAACAACCAATACTTTTATGTCATTTCATGTTACTTTGTTTGAGCAAACCCTAAACAAATATTGTTTTTTTGCTCTCTAGAGCGGATCAGGATATGTCAGGAAGATCACATTTGAGGATATCACATTTGTGAATTCCGAAAACCCTATTATTATTGACCAACAGTACAATCCTAATGGAAACAGGGGAAGCTCAGGAATAAAAATCAGTGATGTTACATACCGCAATGTGCAAGGATCTTCAGCTGATGAGGTAGCAATCGCTTTGAATTGTGCTGGCAGAGCGGCTTGCACCAACATTGTAATGGACAACGTTAAGATTACCTCCTCTAATCCTGGAAAACAAATACGCGCCTCTTGCAATAATGCCATGGGAACTGCCATCTCTGCCTCTCCAACTGTGCCTTGCCTATCAAGTTGAATATAGCCTTTTCAGTGCAGCTGCAGTTGTAATTTGGAAACTATAATATTATTTCACTCAATGTCCTCAGCTCTCAAAGATAGGTGGTATAGAATAATGCTGCAACTGGCAGCAAAGTCTTCTATGGGATGTTATCCAAAGAGACTTTTGGCAATGTAGAGTTTATGAAGTAATTTCAGTCACACTCTTAAGGTTTATGGGAAAGGTTTTTGCCCCCCCTTTAATTTCTGTCCATCTTATTTGTCATGAAATTGCATTGATACATTCAGTGCAAGAATCTTCTAGAGTTTACAAGCTTGTCAGTTCAGGCATTGATAAGAAGGGGGGAAAATGAAATATTGCAGGTATTTAGGGAAGAACATGCATCAGATACAGGATCATGTATTTGCTATTTTTTTAAGGATCATATATTTGCTATTTTTTTAAGGAACTTAATTCCTTTCCAGATGAAAGAAAGCTAAGAAACTGTAGATGAACTGAAAATCAGTAACAAAATTTCTCTGGTTTAAATGGCAAATAGGAAAAAAAGCTTGTTACCAGTTACGAATCCTGGAACAAAGAAACTGCTGCTTTATGTGAGCTAAAATCTCCACTTGAAAAAGTGACTGTCTCTAGCATTACTCAAACACAATTGTTGTCCGTAGAGTGTACAAAAATCTTGATTGGTGGTAAACAGGATGAATTCAAATAGCCTACTTAAGAACATGTAAGTGCTTGTCTTTTCGATACAAGATATTTGCTTCACTGATTCCTCAGGCTGACAAGCTCAATGTCGAACACAAGAGTTCCCAATATTGAGCCTTCTCCATTGGCAAGACGGGTTGGATTGAAAATCGTAGTAAACAGCCTCTGCCTGTCGAAGAACTGCTAAGAATAACAGAATATAAGTGAGAATCAAGATGCGTAAGGCCAAATCGCTCAACGTATTGAAGTTACACAATTCTCTAGGAAGGATCCAGTGTTTCTTTTTATCAATGACAAATGCCTCAGAGTTTGAAATGTTCAGATTTGTGTTTTTTCTTGAACCGAAAGTCTTATGTACGAAAGAGGTGTCTTTATTAGAGTGAAAAATAAGAGTTGAGAATTCTTCCATCCACAAGACATAGCTCAACCAAATGTTACAGGAAAGAGACAGAAGATGAAACACTGATTTGTGGTTATGGTGTAATGATGTCTTGAAAATCTCAGTGTTTTCAATGCAAATCTTGATCCCTAGTAGTTAGACTGATTCGGGATTTCAGAGTCCCCTGGACATGACCGTACTAGACTTTCCTGAACCTATTTTCCCCTATGGATAGCATGTTGTGTTTGAAGAAGTATCTTTTAAAAAATAGACTTTACTGGAGCTTGAAAGTTTCTAGCGACTGTTCTTGGTCCAGGAAGAAACTCATGAAGCTTAGATATGCTGTTTGCGGAACATCAGCCACGCTATTGCGAAAGGGGAAGAATCTTTCCTCTTGTGAGATAATAGGCATCCTCATGGCCCTCTTGCTAAAGAATATAGGACCAGACTGATTTATGAAACTTCAATCTCTTGTGATTCAAAGGTACTGTCTTCAACTATTTCTCGTTACGAGTGGCATTAGCCAAACTCAAGGTCAGACGAAATGAAAGGATAAAATTTGAAGAGTTATGTGGGCATTATTCATCCTTGTTCCAGTAACATTGTATCTTGGCAAACTGCTTCGAGATTTAGAGACCGAGAACACTAAAAGTAGGGCTATAACATTTGGCAAATGACCTATGCCCTGCAAATTGCTTCATATAGAATAACCAGGGAAACAACATACATGGCCATAGTACTGCAGAGAATTATAGATAACCTAAGAGAGGAGAAAGAAAAAGAAAGGTTAAATAAGAAAAACAAACATTGGGAGGTAAAGGTTCTTGAGTGGTATTCTGGTAACCCTGTGAAGGTGGAATGATGACTCTACGAACCCCACCAACTTTCATTGATCTCACGGCTGTTTCAATCCCAGCAATGACCTGCCATGCCATGCCATGCCGGCAAGTAAGTAGTACAAGATTAATCTACCTTTTCACTTGATCTCTAACCAATACTAACTTACCTTCCCAGAACCAAGTGTGAAAACAAAAGGAACAGGTTCACCAGCACTGTCTTTGTGATCATACGTTGAATCAAACCTCCACCCTTGTTTTGCTGCCAGCCTTCCATAGTAATGTATTGCAACCTTCATACATTTGAATGGATGGGCTTAATTAGAGGCATTAATATGATTAACTGAAGTGATAGGAGAGGAGAATACCTGGTCTCCCTCATCGGGGACTGGACCGGAACCAATGCGAAGGTCCAAGGCCTTGACACCACCAGAATTTGGGAGGTCCAAGAAGTCAGTAATTGAAGTAGCAGAAGAAGCAGCAGGACATGAGAAGGCAGGTATAGAAAACAGTGCTGTGGATAAGGAAATGATAGACAATGAGAGAGCCCTTCGTGTTGGTGAAGGAGATGATGGAGAAGTTGAAGAGATCGGAGGTGATGAGGGGAGGTTGTGGGGTACGTGAAGGGATGGGAAGCAGTTCAGCAATACCAAAACCTTATCCATTTTTCGGGGGAGCACGGTCGGATAGTACATAATCATTTTGGGGAAATACATGATCATAATTATGTTGGAAAATAATAATTAGCGACTGGAGGAAATATATGTAATTTGTTTTTAACTATTTGGACTTGGAGAACTAGGTCACGTGTATAGTCCATGATTTTGTGATTTTTGAAAGATCTTGCTATGTTATTAGGAAAAATGATGCATAATATTTTTTAAAATAATTTGTTTTTAGATTTTTTTATTTTTAATATTAGTATATTAAAATCATTAATTTAATATCTTTTAAATAAAATATATTTTTAAAATGTACTTAAAAATAACAGCTATTATACTTTAAATGGGTGAGCACTAAGTATGCATATATAATTTTATTTATAATTTCATCATTATTAAAAATCATAAGGAGGATGAATGCTGTTTACTTTTATTTTAATGGCTCTTAGCTGCTTTTTGATAGAATATATAAATAAAAAAAAGGGGGGAAAGAAAGAAAACTATAGATTTCATCATTATTAAAAATCATAAATGCTGTTTACCTTTATTTTAATGGCTCTTAGCTGCTTTTTGATAAAATATATAAATAAAAAAAAGGGGGGAGGGAAAGAAAAATATACGTTAGATAATTTAATAGGGAGGATAACAACATGTAGCCGTCTTAGCTCAGCTGGTAGAGCGCATGGCTTTTAACCATGTGGTCGTGGGTTCGATTCCCACAGACGGCGTTTCTCCGTGCGTAAACATTTTTGCTCTTTTCTTTTTAATGTGTTGGGGGGAGATAAAAAAGGGGGTTTAAGAGGGTTTTTGACAGTGTTTTTTTTTTTTTTAAATATCATCACATCAAATAATATTAAAAATATTTAAAAAATTATTAATTTAAAAAAATTTAAATTTTTTACTTTGTAAAAATATTTTTAAAATATAAAAATAAACACCTAACCCAAAGTTTCCTTTCTAACCTTTTAGTTATTGGAAGATTAAAATAAAAATCTTGCATGCCATTCTTTTCGTTGGGCATCACAAAAACTATTACCAACTTTAACTCTCGAGTTCACTTTTCTTAACTTATATAAATTCTAATTTTAAAAAATAAATATATTCTCATTTTTCGTATAATAAGATTAAATTGTTATTACATTAACACTACACTTTTATGTTTTGGAATTTTTTTTTATAACATGCTATTGAATTTAAACAACCGCTCCCCCTCCTTCTTAGTGCCGTAGATAATTGTATTTTAGGGAGTTGAAAACATTTTTTGTTTAATATTGTAATGTAAAGTATTTTTTATTTAAAATTATATTAAAATAATTTTTTTATTTTTAATATTAAGAAGCAGAATCTATAAAAAATATTAAAAAAATATTTTCATTAACAATAAATATTAATCTTGTTCAGTATAGAAATTCTTAATTTTGACTCGGAGTTCAATGGGATTATTTTATGTTATTATTTAAATCCAATTATACAAAACCGAGTTTAATAACTATTATTTTAGCAATATTATGTTTTTAAAGAAGCAAACAGTACCACGAGAGCACAAGTACCCGACTTGTCTTGGAGGTGGCCCCCCCCACATTGCCACTATTTTCTTTCTATTTTGATTTTTTAGCTAAGCATAACTGAAGATTTCAAAAGAAGACGAAGAGGAGCATTGCAAGAAAACACTAAGGCAGCGAGAAATGGAGAGCAGTGAAGAAGACGATGATTTCCCTTTTATAGAAAGCATTACTCCTCAGTCCAAGATCGACTCTTTGTATCAATCTCACACTGAGAAGGTTTGTTTTCTTCTTCCATGTTTTTTTTTTTCTTATTTAAGCTAAAATGGTCCAAGTTTTAGTCTGTAAATTTTGAATATAATTGTCTCTCTTTGGTGTCTATTTGAGAAAAGATTTGATTTTTGAATGTGTACTGAGAAGGTTTCTTTTCTTCTTCCATGTGTTTTTTTTTTTCTTTTTTAAGCTAAAATGGTTCGAGTTTTGGTCTGTAAATCTTGAATATACTATTTTCTCTTTGGTGACCATTTGAGAAAAGATTTGATTTTTGAATGTGGGGTTTCCTTATTATGAGCTCTATTTGTGTCAAGGGCTGATTTTGTCATCTGGGTTTCCTTCATACTGTGCAAAAGTGTTTTTATTGGTGTTTTATGCTGGTCTAAGTTGTACTAAGTTGTTTTAATTCAAAATCCTTAATCCATTGAAATACAGTTTTAGTAATTGTAATGTTTAGATGTATTAGTAATATCTTACCCTTTATTGGGCTCACAATAAATCTAGATTATGATAGGTTGGAGCTTCTTGTGTTGATCTTGGGCATTCAGAATGGTTTTCTTTCATGTCATCCTTTTGCGTTGATTTTAAGAATGTTACTGTGTTAAGATAGTTCCATGATTTTTTCAGTAACTTAAATAAATTTGTGACTGCAGGGAATCAGAAAAGTTTGTTGCGAACTCATTG